CACGTACACTCACACAGGTATGCACACATACACATAAACCAACCAACAAACACTTTTAAAACTTGTAAGTCTTCTGAAATAATGTCTAAAAACACCTCAATGTCTTTTTAAAGCACTGTTGAACAATGTTTTTTTTTTTTAATTTGAAATTGATACATTTGAAATTATAGATAAATATTGTGGTTACTCATAATATTTACCCCCTCCTTCCCACACTCCAAACCCTCCTGTAAACTGGTCTCCACTCTCACTGAAACCCATGGCAGGATTCTGCACTGAAATGGTTTTGTGATACTGTTTACATGGGTTATTTCAGAGAGGAGTCTGTTTGTAACCCGGGAAGGTTTTAGCCAAAAGTTCTTACAAATTTGCATGCGTAGAATATCAGAATGTTGCTCTTTTGAGTTATAATAATAGGATATAAATGGAATATCTGAGGAGGTGAACCAATATACTTTGCATGTGCACCTATTTATTAAATGGAATTCCTAGGCCTTCTGAGAAATGTGGTTATGCTAGGTGATGATCAGTGACAACAAAACCGTGTGATAATAATTCTCTGACCCATTTAGCTACAGATGTGTGCTGTCTTCAAGCCTGTAGAGAAGGAAGCATGTATGACATTTTATTGAGAACTAACTCATCTTTGAGACACTTTGCAACTCTAAAGGTTATTGAGAACACGTTCTCTCATTAGCTAGAAAACTTAGATATGATTTATGTGTGCGGCTTTGTGCTCTGTAAATATTTCTATACCCAGCACTTTTGTCTGTGTGCAGACACCATGGGAATCTCACTGTTTGCACTCTCTGCTAATTTGAAGATTTTGTTATAGATGCAATGCATGTAGGGCTACTAACAGCTAAAGCAGAAAGAGGAGAAAACAACAAAACTTAGAAGGGATGAATAAGTGGTGTTAAATACCCTAATATGTTTTTATCAGAGCTGCTCAAGACATGGAAGGTAACATCTAGGCTGAAATAAATGCTTAAAATGGACTGACAACTAAGCCTGCAAGACCAATCCTGGACAGAAGCAGAGTTTAAGGGTTCCCAGTCTGATGGCATATACGATGCCTTTTTGCTGTGTTTAAGGATGGGGCTAACATTTCTAATCAGTTTAATGGATTACACCCAGAACTCCATCATCATTATAAATAGATTATAATTAGATCCAAATCATTTATATTCTGTAGATAAAAGAGAAGGTTTGAGATAATGAGATTTAGACAAGATTTGGGATTTTTAAGTTGATGAACTGGGAACCTTGAGGACCTGTTAGGTACTAAATACCTTTTCCAGCTAGGGGGAGGAATGTGAGTCGTGGGGGCTTTAAAGGGGACTTTAGCAGTTTTGCCTTCCATCACTGCTGCCACCTGGAGTCATGCCTGTGGTTGTCACCCAGCATGACAGAAAACTTTACTCATATGAGCAAAGCCAACTTCAGTGTCAGAAGACAATCTGAGATTATCTGCATGGGCCAGTATAATCGTGTGAGTCCCTAAAATCGGAAGTAGAGGACAGAAGTCAGAGAGATTCAGCATATGAGGACTTGATATACTGGTTTTGACTGTGGCTTGGATCAGAACCCAATGGGTACAGACAGTGAAACACTGAATCAGTGAGAATGAGCACCCTGCAGCAGCCACCGGAGAGCTTCAGTTCTGCAGCCTCCAGGATGTGGACTCTACCAACAACCCAAACAACCAGAAAATGTTTCCCAGGACCTCTCAGTGAGGGTGTCACGGCATGTCACCTTTTCAAACCCTTAGCAGAGGCTGTGGGGGGTCCATTCCAGAATTCTGACCAAGAGAATTATGAGCAAATCAATAATGGTGTTTGAATATTCCAAATTGGTCATGATTTCTTATGCTGGCAACAGGAAACTGAGAGAGTCACATTGCTGGTTGGAAACAGAATAATGGAGTAGAAGACAGTGATTGGGTCTTCCTGTCTCACACCCAGGAATTCACGCAATTCACCACAGATCCTTCTAGCAGTGGTGTCAATACCATTTGCCTTTCATGTTGACCCCGTGTCACCTAACAGACATAACTCCCTGAAGGAATGAGCCTTGAACTTTCTCATTGCCCCTTCCCAAATCTTTATTCCCTCTTTCTTTCTCGAAGCACGGTGGAAGGTAGAGTGGCGTGCTTATACTCTTGGTTCTTCTTAAAAGGTACATCAACTTTGTAGGATGCACACAAGCACAGGCAGCTATCCAGTCTATATTTCTCACAGCAATGGAAATGACTGAGCACTGCTGTAGGCATCTGTGGGCTATCCTGTGCCTCCTTTGCTCCCTCCATGGCCTGGCCTTAGTGTGAGCTGGCCCAGTTCCAGCAGCAGGCTGAGCTTCCTTTACACTCTGGCTGGCCTGTCTTTCTGAGTATCAATTTTGCTTACACAGAAGATACAAAAGAGAGAAATGAGGCTAGGAACACGGCTTAGAAGTGGAGTATTTACCCAATAGCCTTTTGGAAGTGCATTGTCCTGGGACTGACAGGATTCCTCTTAAATGCTTAAGGCCAAGACATATGAGTGACTCCCTATCCCTTCCTCTTATGTCTTTCTAACAGTTCTCTGAATGTTAGGTGTCTCAATGGACCTGTTTTAAAGTTTATTACTCACAGCTAAATTACATCTCAGATGAACATTTTCATCAAGGTGTGAGTGAAGTCACTAAAAACTCAGTTTGTTTCTCCATTTTATCCCATTTTGGTGGTCTTATGGGGAATAGTCTATCTTTGGAGAAAATTAATCTTCTTTTTGGTTTTATTAAAAATTGAGTCTCATAGAAAAACCACATACAGTTGTGAATATTTTCAGACCATCAGCTACAAAGCATATAAATGTTAGTGGCTAGTCTAAGTTCACTTAATAGCTGTGGGCATCAGTATGTTGAGAAACTTCTACACTAGAACTGTGCTGGCTGACATTTCCATTTTTTTTTAATAACTTGTTGGATAGCTAGACTGGATTTTTTTGTTTGTTTTTAAACTAGAGCCCATGTACTCAGATACTGTGCAAAAAAAAAATCTCATTTTACCTCTAGTTTTATAAAACAAGAAAGCTGATGCAACTGAAAATGAAAATGGAAGTCAGGAAAGTTGATTAAAACAAGTCAGTAACATGGATGGAGAAATGGCTCAGTAGTTAAGAACACGAGTTCAGCACTCATATCAGGAGCTCATGATAATCTGTAATTACAGCTCCAGAGAACCTGACACCCTTTTCTGGCCTTTGGAGACACACACACACACACACACACACACACACACACACACACACGCACGCACGCACGCACGCACGCACACACGCACACACGCACACACGCACTAAATGAATAAATAATAAAATAATGAATCCTAACAAGATGTTGAGAGAGAGAGAGAGAGAGAGAGAGAGAATGTTTATTATTCCTCATAACATTTTGCTTTGTTTTGTGTATAGGATCAGTGTATTGTTGAGTAGAACAGTATTTGGGAAAGCTCTGAGATTTAGAAACTTCATAGCTGAAGTCAGCTGTTGAGAAGCAATCTACAGACATTCCCTTCTCTTATGAGTTAAGTTTGCAATTCTTTCTGTGTCCTGTGCAATTATTAGTTGACTCTAAGAATCCTGAAAATAATCCACTTGGTGTTATGTAGGACTACACTTGAGGTCCTATATGCTTTCTTAGGACCTGTCTGTATGAGTGAACTCTTACATTCCCTTGTTTTGACAGGCAATGTTAAATGCTGTTTTTAGACAGTATTGGGACAGAGGGAGTTTCCTCCAGTCATGTTGCTCTCTAGGGAGAAATGACTGGAAGAAAGAGCTAGCCTAAGAAACTACTTATGTTTTTGGTTGTGAGTCTGGCCTTTAAGAGCTGAGCCTTGGTGCAAGTCATGGGAGGATGGGAGGGAGAGGGAAGAGTGGGTTGATATGTAAAATAAGGTTGTTGCTAAATAAAAAAAATATTAAAAGAAGAAGAAGAAGAAGAAGAAGAAGAAGAAGAAGAAGAAGAAGAAGAAGAAGAAGCAGAAGAAGAAGAAGAAGAAGAGGAAGAAGAAGAGGAAGAAGAAGAAGAAGAAACTATTCGTGAGTGGGTATAAAGGCAGAGGGCTAAGGTAGACCAGTAGATTGTTTAGTGAAACTTCAGAATTGTATCATAGAGAAACATTTGAGGAAATTATATTTCATGTAGACATGAAAATTCTCCGATGTGCATTGTTTCATCTTTTTGACTCTTTGAGCTAAATAATGGTAGAGGCAAAGTGAAAATGAAATCGTTTTTCATATAGAGCCTTTCTGGAATACGAGAAGTCGTTTCAGGAGCCCCCCTTCCCTCCCTCTCTCCAGCCCTTTTTTTTCCTCACTCCCTACCTCCTTATCCCCTTTCCTACCCTTTTCTTGTCATTTGCTCCCATTCCTTCCAAGGTCTATTACAAGTGAGGGAGTGGGTTCAGAGGGCTCTCAAAATATGAGAACGAATTGCCATTAATGCTCCTTCAAATCCACCCTGTTTAACTGCACTTTGAAGTGTCACACAGTTTACAGAAGCCACACCCTCATAGATGTCAGTGAGAATAACCACACCCCCAGATCCCTTACTTCTTGTCCATCCTTGTCCCAAACCCCTCTGATTCTTTGATTCAAAGCAAATTAAAAAAAAGTCTCTAGTTTTAATGTTTTGAGTGCACCTGGGGAGCTCATCAAACCATCATTTCTGGACCTCGCACTCAGGCTTTCCAGTAGAGTAGAAAGAGATGGGACCCAATGATCAGCCTTACAAACACACTCCCAATTCATACCAAAGTCGCTGGCTTGAGCTGAACTTTTCAGCACTCGATAGCTATGCCTGTGTCACAGGGACCCTGGAACTACTGGCCTGGAGCTGAGGGAGTGGTAACAGCAGAGTTGGATCTAATGGGTCTTCAGGGTAGAGGCCAGGCAGGAGGGGAACAGTGCTAATCTTTCTTAAAGTTTCTATAACACAACTGCCTCTCCTCTTTACAGAAGCAAATCCAGAGAAATTCAATAGTCGTTTTCGAAATAAAATGTTCTATGCAGGGGTAAGTATGTGATTCACTTTATGATTCTTAATATTATTTAATGCCAATTCACTGAATACTAAAGAGACTGCTACATCAAAATTAGTAATGCTAGACATAGCATTACTTCCATCTATGTCTATATATAGGTATTCTTTAAAGCCTTCACCAAGGAATGAAGGAGAGGGAATGTTTATTTGTTTGTTTGTTTAGTTTTTCGAGACAGGTTTTCTCTGTATAGCTTTGGAGCCTGTCTTGTAGCTCTTGTAGACCAGGCTGGTCTTGAACTTACAGAGATCCACCTGCCTGTTCTTCCTCCCAAATGCTGGTAATAAAGGTGTGTGCCACCACCGCCCGGCTGGGAATGTTTTTTTAAATGAGTGGTCAACACGGGGGTTGGTGTTGATCATGATTGAATTTTTGTTTGTTTGTTTGTTTTTTGTTTTTCGAGACAGGGTTTCTCTGTGGCTTTAGAGGCTGTCCTGGAACTAGCTCTTGTAGACCAGGCTGGTCTCGAACTCACAGAGATCCACCTGCCTCTGCCTCCCAAGTGCTAGGATTAAAGGCGTGTGCCACCATGATTGAATTTTAAGCCCCTGAGGTGCTACAAGAGTTGGTGTCTTTTAGGAAGCCATGTGAAACAGGGTCAGTGAAGGAACTGAGAAAAACAATGTTTCAGTTTCTTTCCTATTTCTGTTTAAAATATCCTGACAAGAAGCAATTTAAGGGAGAAAGTGTCCATTTGATTCACAATTCTAGGTTACATTCTGTCACTGGCCGAGGCCAAGGTGGTAGGAAGGAAGTTGAAGCAGCTAGTCATTACACATCCACAATCAAGAGCAGGCAGCAAGAGACGAGGGCACTCATGATTCTGCTTACACCGTGAAAGACCCCCGAAGAGGCACTTTCGTAGAGGGAGACCCACACACCCAGGAATCAGCGAGGCCACGAACTGGATGCAAAAAACAAGAGGCTTTATTGGAGACGCGGGTACCCGGGGCGACTTAGCCTTTGTGTGGCTAAGCGCCCCGAGCCAAGGGAAAGGGGTCCTTATATAGGGAAAAA